CCCCTCAATTACTCGACACACGCTTCGAAGCCTCGATACAGAACGTCACATCACTACTCCTGGCTCTTATACGATGAAGAGGCTAATTTGAGCTGCTATTAAACGCTTTGACAATGATCCGGATCCTGAGCGGGGCGTCCTTTAAGGCTGCTGGTGGACTGTTAAAAGATATTCAAAGCAGACAGCTACACGGGTGAGGCTGACACCACAAAGACAATGACTTGTGCATAAGTGTGAGCTTGTTCAGTTATATGTGAGAGAAGAAGTAGGGGTGGGGTGCTAGTTTCTTTAATCCGTACAGACGAATGTGCAGACGAGCCGGTGTTGTGCCAAAAAGTGATTGCCTGCCCAAATATGCAGCTTTCACTGAGCCTATAGTCACTGCCAAGGACACCCAACTCTCCAAGATATAGATTCAACAACATCTGTACCCTCTGCATGAGCTAGGTCCTCACACCACGTTGTTAACACATGTTGTTTACACACCATGATTTCTTAATAAGTGTCTGGCAGGGAGGACGGTTATTAGAGTTGCCGTGTTTTCAGAGGCTGCACACAGCTTACCGCTCCCTCTCCAGTTTACTTTAAGGAAGCCCTGCAATATAGAAAATTACAGTTAATGATTATTAAGAGCAAGGGAAACCTTCCTACTTAAATTCAGCTTCTTCCGAGATAACCCTCGGGTTGACAGGTGAAATGTTTGGCAGGTTTAACTACTTACAACTGTGCGCATTTGTACAGGTCCTGGCACTCTGTTCTAGTTATGATAGAAACCCTCGAGCAAGGTTTCATCTCTGAACATTGACACTTTCTAGCCAATTTGGTGAAAGTCCCTGATTTAATCTCTGGTTGCATTTATTGCTTTAATGTTTTGTGGGACATTAAGACATTTTGTCTGGCTGTTGCAAAAATGCCACAAAGTGTACTCACTTGGTTACAAGATTTAAATGTTTGTGAACATTGTGTTCTTGCAGATCACAATGTTCAAGAAATACACGTCAGAGGTTTTGCGCAGGGAAAAAAAGAACTTGCTCAGAGCCAGGCTGCACTGACGTGAGTCACACACAACGATCCAGCGATGAGTAGAAGCCACTCC